CTCGGACTCTCTCACACTTACTTACACAGTTATCTTAAGAAGTGTCTCAGTGAGAGTTTAGGTACAAATTTTGCTACTTAAAATCTCCCCCATGAGAACTCCTGGCTCAATCAAGGGTCCTTTTTTAGTCTCTTAACCTGGGAAGGGAGGACTTTTAAGAGATATGATGGAGGAGGAGAATCATGTTCAATCTTTGAGTGGCCTATTCCTGTCTTATAGTATACCAAATTACAGGGAATCCTCGACTTACAACAGTTCATTTTGTGACCATGTTACAACAGCACTGAAAAAAATAATTTATGACTGTTTTTCATACTTAATAGCCAGCATCCCCGTGGGCACGTGATCACAATTCGGATGTTTGGCCACTGACTCATATTTGTGACGTTTGCAATGTCCTGGGGTCGTGGAGTCACCTTTTGCAAACTTCAGACCGGCAACGTTAACAGGGAAGCCAGATTCACTAAAAGATCATGTTACTAACTTAACAGCGGCCGTGATTCACTTAGCAACGGTGGCGGGAGAGTTCGTAAAACGGGCAAGACTCACTGAACATCTGTCTCGCTTAGCAACCAAAATCTTGAGGTCAGTTGTAAGGAGAGGACTAACCTGTACTTGCTTCTTTTATTTCCATTCTGGGACCAACCTGAGTTTTCAGCCGTTAGCAAGATCACAGGAGAGGAAAAATAAGCTGCAGCTTTATCCCATTCCTTGTTTGCTGTCTGTTGCTTCTTGCAAAATTCTCTTGCTCTTGTCTATAAACCAATGCTTGCTATTGGCAGGATTAAGTGGATGATGGAGGCAAAGCAAGCTATAAGCAGCAGTGGGAAAACGGAAAAAAAAATAACCTCATTTTGTCTCCAGCAAGAGCAGCTGTGTTTCACCTTTTTTTTTTTTTTTTTTGTAGTCTGCATCAAATGCTGACACTTTTTTTTTTTTCATTTCACTGCAAATCTACAGGAGAATCCAGCCAAGGATTCAGCTGCTTTTCATGCGGGAAGGGGTTAATCTAGAGCAGGGGTTAGAGCAGTGCTAAGGCAGGACTTCTCTCAGACCCTCCCTCCCTCTTATTATAATCTTCTTCCTTCCCTTCTTTTTCCTTTCCTCTTCATTCTCCTTTCTTCTTCCTTCCCCTCTTTCCTTCTTTTTTTCCTTCCTTGCTCTCTTCCCACCTTTCCTTCTTTTTCTTTTTCTTTCCTCTTTCCCTTTCTCTCCTTTCCTGTCCCTTCTTGGATGCTCAAATGCAAAAGGGGAAACATTTCTCCTCTCCTTTTGTTTTTGGTTTGTTTTGCCAGCCTTCTGCCAGCGAAAACCGAGCCCTCTTCGCGCACGCACACACACACACACCCCTCATGCGGCCCTCCTGAGCTCCATTTTCACTGGCAGAGGCACCATAGGCTAATCCTTCACTGTTTCCATGGCAGCCCTATGGGCCAGATCTGGCCCATTGGCCTTGAGTTTGACACTCCAATCTAGAGGCAGAGCCTGCATCGTGGCTAAAAAGAATGGTGGATAGTGGTATCCTGGCCTCCTCCAAATGGCCAGACTTAAGAGAAGGTTTAAACCAGGGCAACTTTACAGAATTTCAGAGCAACCAATCCCTGTTTAAGCAACTTCCAGATTCCTGAATCTGTCCCATCTACAGGTAATCCTCGAGTTACGACCACAATGGAGCCTGGCATTTTGGCTACTAGTCGTTGTGGTTATGAAGTGGGTCACCATGTGGTTTGACTCAGTTTTATGGCTGTTTTAGGGTGGTTGTTAAGCAAATCACATCGCTAAGTGAACCACGTGGTCAGCATACGCAGTAGGCATTTGTGCCATTTTGTGCAAATTGATGTGATGGTGGGATGCTACGACTGATTGTAAATACAAGTTGGTTACCAAGTGTTTGAAAATGCAGTTGTGTCACTCCAGGGAACAATGGCAGTTTTAACTTTGAGGACCAGTAGTAAGCTGCTTTTTAAAAAAAGTTATTTGTAACTTCAAATCTTCATTAAGTGACTGATCAATAAGTAAGGACTACCTATATTTTGTTTACTTGATTATCCCTCCCTGTTCACCATGGCTGCAATAACAAATGGCTTCTTTCTGCAGAACAGTGACAATGAAATCCACCCCCCCCCAAAAAAAAAACCCAGGTGTATGATCACTACATCTGACAAAGAACTTTTAGGAAATCGGCTATAGCTGAAGGAGGGGTTTCCAGATGTTTGGCAGCAGCCACAACTTTAGTTTGGTAAGAAGACGACAAGCTATAGAACAGGAATGTCCAACATTGGCAACTTTTTAGGATCTATGGACTTCAACTCCCAGAATTCCCCAGGCTGGCTATGGAATTCTGGGAGTTGGTCTGCAAGTCCTATAAATTTGCCAAAGGTTGGATGCTTCTGCTTTAGAGGCTTAACTCACAAATACAAACACACACACAAAAGGAGAAAAAGGGTATAAAAAACCAGGGACTTACCATACGAAGCTAGCTAGCCCAGGAACGCAGACTTCTTGCTGTCCCTCTCCTTCCTGAAAAATTAAAAAGATCCAGCTTTCAAGCAGTTGTCCGTATCCTTGCACTGGAGCTCTCCCAGCGGGAAAATCGAATCCCCGAAGGAAAGGCATTTTGACACCTTTCAACAACAGCTTTAAGACTTGTAGACTTCAACTCCCAGAATTCATCTTCCAGTCATGTTAGCTCAAGAATTCTGAGGGTTGAGATCCACAAGTCTTAAATGTGCCAAGTTTGAAGAGCCTTGTTTTAGAGGATCATTGAAGCACTTGCAGATTTATTTGTGTCCTCAGAGTCACCTGAATAGCGCTCCTGGTTCCTGTAGTCTGCAATTTTTCCTCTGGAAATCCATTCCTACTCCCACACCATTTCAAAGGGTCAATTCAAAGGATGCAAATGTCCAGCTGTCTGCGATGAATACAAATCTTGCCAATCCTCCCTGTCCTGCTAGAGCAGAAGAAGCTTCTTGGATGAGAAGTGAAATGTCTTCAAAAGAAAGAAACAAGAAAGTCCAGTTGCCTCCTGAAAAAGCACCTTTGGGACAACCATGTCCTAGATGACTGAGAATCTCTACACGCGTTTAGATTTGATTTGTTTGATTGCGCCTACAGCCTTTTGTGACCAAAATATCCCTCTTTGTATAAGGGCATCTAAAAAAGATAGGCAAACCATTTGGAGAAAAGTCTGTAAACTTTTCTTTTTTCCTAGTGTGGTGTGAAAACAGGGGAAAAATGCCGGGAACTGTCTCCTGAGAAATACTTACCTTAGCCTTTAAAGAAGATTTTCAACTCAGAGAGTAATGGAGCAGAGCCCATCTCTTCCTTTGTAGAACAAATTGCAGCAATTTATTTTGCTGTATTTACCTGGAAGGTGAAAAGGGATTCCCCGCCAACTCCCCATTTTTGTAAGCGTAAAGGTGAGCTCAGTTCCTAGTAAAGACACAAATGTGTTTAGATAGTTTTGCTGTCAACAGCGTGGAACTGATGTGCCATTGTAATTTTATGGGACTTTTCGCAGTTCAGGTTATGGCCTTATGATTTCTCCTGCTTCCCAGTCAAGCATTAATGGCATCTTAGCTATTTGAGATCAAACCCGGTGCCGCTTACCTTTTCATGTGAAAATCATCTTCAATTTAGGAATAATAAAATAACGGAGGTAGGTTCCTCCCCCCCCCCAGTCTGATATTTAAATATTTCTTTCTTTCAGATAGAAAACAGCATTAAAGGCACATTATAATTTCTTGTTAGAAGTATATCCTCCCTCTCTTTTCAAGAGCACTCGGATAATTGCGGAGGAAATTAACTCAGGGAGGGCTACATTAATGGATATTAAGTTGTGTAACTTGGGAGAAAATGGCCAAGTTGAAAGTGATGTGCCATCCATAACAAATGTCTTCAGAGGCTTCAAAGGTGCTAGAAGGTTTTCTGTTTAAATATGTAGCATCTGGGTGTAAGGATTGAGCAAATTAATTCAGGCAGCTGAAATCCTGTTTGAGCTTGAAATGTTGGCTTTTCTCCCGTTTGCGCCTGAAAGGTTTATGCAGCCTTTTCCTCCTTTTGAATTCTGCCTTTGCGCCTCTAAATTTCCAAGTAGCAAGCAAGCGCTGTATGAATGTGGGGGGTTGTGGTATCAGGAGATGGAATCACCCTTGCTGAGACAACTCTTACTGTGTCATGATAGTAGACGTTATTGTCAGAAGATGGAAAGACAGAATAAACATCTGTTCAATTTTGTGGATGCATGTAATTCCCTAGTTGGCTTTCGGCGATGTTGATTGACAGCCTAAAAAGGCTGTGCTTTGAGAGGATGCAAAATTATTCTTGGAAGCTGAACAGACTGCAAAGATACCCTTTGGCCACATTTACATAATAATCAAGTCAGGAAGTTACTTACTGAGTGAATGATCTCAACGCTAAGATTAATTGGTTGCTTGCAGGTTAGTGTATTGCCTGCACTCATTCCCCTACTTACGTATATGGTTTGATATATTACACAAAGTCACAAAAGGAGGAAAGGCATTAACTAGGCTGAATGGATTGAGGGAATGTGTTTTGCAGACAGAGCAACCACTGTACATCACATGATGTACATCTCGTTTATGTACATCACATAAACTTGTAAGAACCCAAGACTGATCAGAAGGGAAAAGTTAGGTTCTTTCCAAGGTTTAGATTCAGTTCACACCCTGTTCTAGACCATGGTATATATGATATATGACACACAAAGCTTTGAATAATGGCTTATAAAACTAAAATGGCTTCCTTAATTTAACATCCATTCATTCATTTTTTGTAGCCACCCAATTCAACCAAGTAACTGAGTAGCTAAAGCATCTGTCAGGGTTCCGACGGATGCCCTAATTAAATCATGAGCCTCAAGCCAAGCTTGAAAGAAATCCAGTTATTTATTAGGAGCTTCATGTTTGCAAGGACCAAGTGGAGCCAACTCTGACCTCAGTTAATTTGCGCTTTGCCTATAACCCTGTTTCCCGCTTCCCCCCCCCAAGATGTGTCATCAGTCACATTACCCAACAAAGCAATTTCGAGGGTTTTAGAAGTCACTCCCTCTGTCCACTGTGGGTTTCCATAGAGATGACCTTGACGTATCAGTTGGAATATGCTTTGTTTTGACTGAGATGCAAGCTCCTTGGTACAGCTGCAAAGTTTGCTTTCCCATCACCCCTTGCCGTCAGGGTTGCTTTGCAAGTTGACGGCATTATTTGGAGTCATTGTTGGTTAATAGGGCTTGCAAATATTTTCCTTGTACTTCAATCTAACAAATACAGGGTCTTTGGCTGAATCTTAGAGTAATGACTGTTAAGGAGGTATGCTCCATGCCTGGTCAGGAGTTCTCGACTGAAAAGTTTTGTCTTTCTATCTGCTCTGTAGCACCAAATCTTTTTCTTGGAGGAACTTGTAAGTATAGGGTTCCTGTGGATTGGGGTATTGCTGTTCCTACTGTATGATGTTTTATATTGTATGAAAGAATACAACACTTGTAAGGATGCCTGACGGAAAGAATATTTCTAAAGATAAAAAATGAATGAGTTGCCTCTTAAGGCAGGAATTCTAATGGGCAACGTTGCATTTTTTTTTTTTTTTAAATGCCCAAATCTTAGCAAGATTCATACAAAATCTTTCTAACTGTCACATGATTGATCAGAAGGTCACTGACATTTTGGATTGCCAGGAAAGAACTGATGACTGCAGAAGAATGACTGTACCACGATACTACAGCAGAGTAATTCCTCTCCAGAGAAAGAGAGGATTGAGGTTGTATTCCACAAGTATTCCAGACAGTTGCTTCTCCTAGGGCAGGGGTGTCAAACTCAAGGCCACTAGGGTGCTTAAATCTGGCCTGTGGGGTCAGCCTGGAAATAGCAAAGGACCAGCCCACAATACTCTGGCAGCCAAAAGGGGGCACTGTGGGGGAGCTCGTGCACCCCTCCCATGCCCCGTGTTGGCTGGCAGGGTGCTGCAGGAGGCTGTTCAGGCCAAAAATGGGGTGCAGAGGGTCTCATGCAGCCCCCTCCCACATACCATTTTGGCCGGCAGGATGCTACAGGTGGCGTCTATCTCATCTCCTCCCCCTCCCCCCCACCCCCCAGGCAGGCCTGTGGAGGAGAACTACAATGCTGATCTGGCCCTCAAAGAAATCCAGTTTGACACGCCTTTCCTAGAGAGTAAGCAGTTGCCGTAGGATAAAGTCACTCTGGTGATCTTATGGGTGTATCTGTGTGACTTTTGTTGCAACAACATGGAAGGCTCATCACCATTACCTTCTTAGTGTATTCTATAGCACTGGAATTTCTTTGTGGTCTCCTAACCTTGTCATCTACTTCTTTGACCTGTGAACCCCAGACAAGGTTAACCTGGTGCTGCTATGTGGTGCTACCTTTTGGGTTTTTTCATTTGTTTGTCTGTGCTTCCAGGTCAATGTTGACTCCTGCCTGGTCCACACCCTGCAGTTTTCTTAGAATTTTTTTTTGCCATTGCTTCCTTGCTGGGGCTAAATGACAGTGGTTGGCCCCAGGCCACTTACCTGGCTTTGTGTCTAACACAGGAGTAGAACTCCTGACCTCCCAGCTATTAGCCTCAGGCCTTAACCACTTAGCCAAACTGGCTTTCCCCTTTTGGTGGGGACATTTGAAAATCAATGATAAATTAAGAGGAAAACAAAATAAGACGTAGCTGCATGTCGTTTTTAGTCTAGTTTCAAAAAAAATAATAATTGAGTTTTCTTCTGAATCCCAGATGCTGATCCCAGTGGTGGGATCCTTCTGGCATAACAACCGGTTCGGGGAGCGTGCACATGCATGCCAAACATATGCTGCATGCGCTTGCATGCTACTGGCTCCGGTGAGCATTTACTTTCTCATCTCCAGCTGATGAGCGGCACTCAGCAGTACTGCGCAAAGCAGCTGAGGAGGTAAAAGCATATAAGATAAAGGACAGCCTAGAGCCCAGGTTGGCAGGTGGGCCAAACAGACGACCAGTCGGTTGTCACAGCGAACCGGTTCAGTGTCAGATGTTCTTCAGAACTACCAGTTCTATAAAACCGGGCTGAACCAGTAGTCATCCCACCCCGGCTGATCTTGATTTTAGCACACCATTGAAAATGTGCCAAAAAAGAGTGATTCTGACAGTCTGCAGCTAAAGGCCTTAATAATTACGGGGAGATGTTTTTCGGTCCCACCGGAATTGTATGATCCCTAGCCAATGGCTGAGTGTAAGTTTTTTTTCCCCCCTTTGATAGCTGTGTACTTTTACACTTGGCGTGATATAACAAGTCTTCTTCCTTTGAATTACCTAAGGGGACTGTGTTACTGTAGCGTAGTGTGAATAGTTCTTGCTGAGTCTGGAACATATTTTTTTTTAAAAAAGACCTGCTGTATTCTGCTAATGATGCATGCAATTTTAATCTATGCTTTTCATTTTTAATGTACCTTATTCAAGCTGCTTCTCATGATACCGCTGTCACAGTGTTGCGTGGGGAGATAAGGGAGGAAGGATGGCTTCTTCAAATTGCTTTCTTGTAGCCAGGTGCTCTGTGAAAGGGAGCTGGTTCAACAACCATCTCATGCCTCTGTTTATGCTCTGCAGTCGGCATGGAATGATAGAGGTGGGGTGATCTGATATGTACAGCTTCTTAAGGCAAGGTACAGCTAGCCAGTTCTGGATGGTGTTAAAAGAACTGGAATGGAATGGAATGGAATGGAATGGAATGGAATGGAATAGAATAGAATAGAATAGAATAAAATAGAATAGAATAGAATAGAATAACAGAGTTGGAAGGGACCTTGGAGGTCTTCTAGTCCAACCTCCTGCTTAAGCAATAAAACTTATACGATTTCAGGCGAATGGTTATCCAATCTCTTCTTAAAAACTTCCAGTGTCGGAGAATTCACAACTTTTGGAGGCAAGACCTTCCGCTGATTAATTGTTCTGTCAGGAAATGTCTCCTTAGTTCTAGGTTGCTTCTCTCCTTGATTAGTTTCCACCCATCGCTTCTTGTCCTGCCCTCAGGTCCTTTGGAGAATAGCTTGACTTCTTCTTCTTTGTGGCAGCCCCTCAAATATTGGAAGACTGCTATCATGTCTCCCCTAGTCCTTCTTTTCATTAAAGTAGTCATGCTCAATTTCAGCAACCGTTCTTCATATGTTTTAGCTTCCAGTCCCCATATCATCTTTGTTGTTCTTTTCTGCACTCTTTCTAGTGCCTCAGCATCTTTTTTACATTGTGGCAATTAGTACAGGTAATCCTCACCTTTTGAGGATTTGTATTTTATATTATAAACAAATTTTGAAAAAAGGATTTTTTAAAAAATCTTGCAACTCTAACAGTGCTTCCCTCCTCCTTCCTTTTATCTTCTTGAGGACTAAGAAAAATCTTGCCTAAGATGTTTACTCAGGCTACTTTTTTTACCCTAGACTCAACTTACTTTTTTTTTGATATCAACTTTTCTGTAGAAGACAACTTGACCTCTTCCTTCTGTCCCTCAAAGACATTCCCTCTACCTCTATAGGTAGTTCCATTCCCCTCTGCATCAGTTAGACGACATTAGAAATGCAGATAGTCCTCAACTTAGAACAGTTCCTTTAGTGACCGTTCGAAGTTACAACAGCCCTAAAGAAAGTGACTTATGATTATTTTCCCACTCACTACCGTTGCAGCTCATGGTTCACCTGATCAAAATTCAGACCCTTGGTAACTGATTCACATTTATAAGTAAATAAAGTGGCTACTTTAAGAGACCTTGGTGGCATCTTGACAAAATGTTCTTCCTTGTTGGGTTAACTTGACCGTGTGCAGCTGATCCTGACCAAGACAGGTTCATATACAATAGAAGGTTGCATAATAGTTCCCACTTTGTGTAATAATTTTTAGAATCGTGTTTATTTTCAATAAGAAGCAAATGGATGCAAAGGACAAGAAGCAATGGGTGGAAACTAATCAAGGAGAGAACCAAGGAGAAACTTAAGGAGAAATTTTCTGAAACTTCGAACAATTCATCAGTGTAATGACTTGCCATCAGAAGTTGTGGGTGCTCCAACATTGGAGGTTTTTAAGAAGAAATTGGACAACCATTTGGGTGACGTAGTATAGGGTTTCCTGCCTGAGCAGGGGGTTGGACTAGAAGACCTCCAACGTCCCTTCCAATTCCGTTATTTGGTTATTCAGTTTTTATTATGGTTGCAGTGTCCCAAGGTTCTGGGATCACCTTTTGGGACCTTCTGATAAGCAAAGTCAATTCACTCCACAACCCGTGTTACTGACTTAACAACTGCAATGATTCACTTAACAACGATGGCAAGAAAGATCGTAAAATGGGGCAAAAATCACATAACCACTGTCTTGGTTAAGAACATAAATTTGGGGTTAATTGTGATCATAAGTCAAGGACTACCAACAGTGGAAAAATTCAGTTCTGGGTTTTCTGTTTATTTATTTTTACTGCAGGACTAGAACTCACAGTCTCCTGGTATCTAGCCTGATGCCTTAATCACACTAACCCAAACTGGTTTTCTTCGATGTTTTCTCACAGAAGGAATCTAATATTCCTGGGCTGCACATGAAAGAGTGAAGATGTGGAGCAGCCCAGGGATAATCCTCCCATTAAGGAGCTATCAAAGATCAGTCTTAGTTTCCTAGAGGAGAACAGAATAATCTTCTCTCTGAAGTCATAATTCAAAATGACCTCAAACGATTTTAACTTTGGGCTAAATCCAACAAGACAGTGTTCACAAATCTTTGCACGTGAGCAACAAAAATCAAATGCGGAGAGAGAGAGAGAGAGAGAGAGAGAGAGAGTTGGAGAGAACTTTCTTAAAGTAGTTTACTGAGAAGAGAAAAGTTGTCAGAGTCACTACTATTGCGAGACAACCCAGAAGCAAAGCACAGGACACAGAGGTTTTGTCTTTTTTTAAAAAAAGTTTTTATTAGTTTTTAAAAACAAACATAAACAAACAAAACATAAAAACATCAAGCCATCTTCCATAGGTGTACATACAGTGTGTGGGTCGGTTTACAAATCGTTTTGTGCTTCCATTTCGTAGTCTTCAATTACAATTACA